TATCTGAAAATGCCTGTGGAGGGCTTTGTGTAATAAAGCACCATCTCAACAGATGGCTCCTGTCTCCTCCTTCATGGGATTATGCTAAAACAACCTCAGTGATTCGGAACCACAGTCCGCTCTCGGGGGAGCCTCTGCCCTGTACTGAATTCTTCCTTTTCTCCAGCCCAGCATGCAGTGCTGTGTGTTTTCTCCCTCTTGTGGAACAAGGTAATAAATAACGAGACGGGGTTCAGATGGTCCCGCCACGTGTGGAGACAGGCAACAGAACAAATCCGTCCTCTCAGCTACAGTACTTCCTTTGCTACAGTTCACCAACATCGGATGATCATGACAAAAATGAAAAGGAGGAGACAGAGATGAGGGAGTTCCTGGGTGCCTGCAGCTCCCATGGGCCAGCTGGAGTCCTGAGGTCAGCAGTTCCTTGCATCTGATCCAGGCATTTATCGTCAGGCAGCTGGGTTGTCTAGTCTAACTTTCACCTAGGAACTTGAGTTTCTCTGCCCTTGCCACCTTGGAGGTGGCATGGTCACAAACAACACAATCAGCGACTCTTCATTTGCAAATACCGAACTGGCAGGCCCCACTCCACTACAGTGAAAACCTCACTAGACTCCTGGGGAAATAAATATTTCTGTGATCAAATGGAGAAGGCTAACACTAGGTTTCTGGAAAGAGCAACCCCTCAGTGCCAGAGGATCATATTTGAGTTACATGAAGTATCCACACTGTGCATGGCCACATCTAGCTGTGCCTTTGATGAAGTAAAAAACCAGGTCAGGTTGGATCACCAAGGAGGAAATTCTGAGGGAATAAGGAACTCTGATATGAGGGTCAGTGAAATATACCCACATAAGGGGCAAAGCAACAGAGCGATCCAAGAGGTGTGCGCATGTGTGCCATGTGGGTAGGCGGAGCATAGTAATTCAGGACAGTGAGACGATCCTGCATGACACATATGGAGATACGCACTGTTACAGCTTCGTGGAGACATTCAGAATGGATACCAGGAACAAAAGCACAAGAGGAAATCCCAATGCAAACTCTACACTTTAGTTAATAATTGTGTGTCAATATTGGCTCACCTATAGTAAGAACTACCCAAAGCTGTTAATAACAGAAGAAACAGTTAGAGATGGGGCATGAGGGACTCTGTGTTTTAGTAACTGAAAATTATAAACCTAAAAAACTGCTCTAACATATTTTTTCCAGGACTGGTGATGTAGCTAATTGGTGTGGAACTTATCTAGCATGCTGAGACTCTGGGTGCAGTGTCCAGCATGCACAGCCAGAATTAAAAATGTGAAGAGTACTAATTTAAAACAAGTTGTGTTGAAAATGAATCTAGGGAAAATATAATTATGTATTTTACTTGTTCAATTTTGCATTATAGCAATCCTTTAAAATTTTCATTACTTTAAAGATATGCCACCTCAACAAGAAATGATCAATCACTCAAAGCCCAGGATCCTTTGGTCTATTTTACTCTATGATGGAGTTATAGGAACAAACACAACAAAGGTTGTGATGCTCCGTGTCTTTGAGTACCACAGCATCCTTCATCTGTGAAAAGGGACAATGACCCAGGCACAGAAGTGCCAAGTGAAGCAGTGTACAAGGTATGTACTTGGTAAATTCTCACTCACATAATTTTTCATATCCAAATCAAACAATGCAGGGCTAACATCCTGGGTCTCAGCAACACATTGCCAGTTAGCTTATTCCTATTTCAGGGATGCAGAATGCTCCTCAGCCCCGCTTATCTGCAAAAATTCCCCTACAGTCCTAAAACAGGGGCTCAGCTCTCCCTGTGTGGGTACAGGCAGAGAAGGGGCAACATATTTCTGAGGAATGAGCAAGGACACACCTTCTTTAAGCGACTCGGACGGCATGCTCTGCTAGTTAGCTTTTGTCAGCCTGACACAAACTAGAAAGAGGGAACCTCAGCTGCGGAACTATCTTCATTAGATTGACAAGTGGGCAAGTCATAGGGCATTTTATTGATTAATGATGGATGTGGGTGGGCCAAGTCCACTGATCATTCCTGGGCAGGTATTGCTGTGTCTAAGAAAGCAGGCTGAGCAAGCCAGTAGACTGCATTCCTCTGTGGTCACTGCTTCAGTTCCTGCCTCTAGGTTCCTCCTTTGGCTTCCTTTGATGATTGAGTGTGACCTGTAGGCAAATAAACCCTTTCTCCGCCCCCTCCCCCCCTTTTTTGGTCAGACTTTATCACAAGAATAGAAACCTAACTACGACATAATGCCTTTGAGAAAAGTGTGCAGGCTGATGTCCAGCTTGGAGATCCCTACTGCCGTAGCCAAGGAGATTGACAAAATAAACCTTGACAAACCTAGATTAAAGATCTACGAGGAAGAGAGGGTCTCTGGCATACAGTTGACCAGTTTGGCCTGAAGCCACGGTTTAGCTGATGCGGCCCGGTCCTGCTCTTGCCAAACAGCTGCACTCAGCACAAGGCCATGTGTGAGCGAGTCCTGGAGCGATTACACAGCAGTGTGCAGAACCAGCGAGCACTGGGAAGCTGAAGGATGCTCACAATGCCAGGCCTTTGCTAACCAGCCCCCTACACAGGCACAGGAACCAATCCAAGACACTCTGCAAACTTAGCCCCAAGGGCAGGCATCCCCTCTGGCAATCTTGAAGGAACATGTAGAAATCACTTGGCAATCATGCTGCCTTAGACTGAGTGGAGAGCTAATCAATCTTGGCTATAAGACCTGAAAGGAAAATAAGGGAAGGGAGGAAGGGCTAGATGCCAGGGATGTTTCTGAGCTGTCTGGCCTCTTACAACCCCCAGACCTTGGAGCTCTGCTGGTAATGAAGACTAATGCAAGATTTGAGCAGCCAAGGCAGAATTAAATGGGCTAAAGCTCTAATATTAGAGTAAAAAGGATGTGTTTTTTTTTTAAAAAAAAAAATCAAGGCTATGCTTGGATCTCAATTAAGCGTCAATAAATATACTTCCCTCTAATGCTGCTATGACTGATACACTCTGATAAGACATACTCTTTATATGCTCTTATTAGTAAGAGTATTAAAAAATTTAGAATATTGACAACCTTTAATATGTGTGCAGTGCTATCTGTCTATGGCCGGATCATAGACTGGCAATTCAACCATGCTCTAACTAGAGAAGCACATGTCTTCCCGTTCAACAACGCCATCTAGCTCCCCCTCAGCTGGTACTTCGGACCCCTATCATAACACAACCACAGGACCTCCAATGCAGGCAACCACCTGCTGTCTCTACTACCTCTAATGTCTCTCACTGAGGATTCCACCATCACCACCCAGAAAGACCTCATCACCAATGGCAGCCTCTCTGGCTGCCGGAATTCTAGCATGCACAGCTGCCTTTCCCGTACTTAAGCCTGGTCTTAAACAGAAAAGTTTCTAAAACTCCCCTGTGTTAGTCTCAGATTGTGGCCCCATCAAGGCTTACCTGAACCATTCACACCGCTTGACTTTGAATAAATGACTTCCACTAGATAAATGATCCTTAGGGTCACCTGTAACCTTTGTTGCAAGGATTAATTGAGAAACCCTTCCCTAAGGCCTAGGAGAGTACTAAGCAAATAATAAACGTTCAAGAACTCCTGGATTTTCCTTCAGGCTCACCTCGTAGCCTGTTTTTTGGACACGCAAGATTATTCTAGCCTGTGATGATTGAAATAGAGTGGAAAAAAAAATCTAGGCTTAGAAGATCACCATGCTGGCCTGACTTTTCTTGCATCTATTAGGACCAACACTTGGTTTATCTGAGCATCCTTTCAAGCCTATAACACATATATCAGGGGCTACAAACTCCATTTCCTTCCATAAAGGGCTTGACGCTATTTGAAAGTCGTGTTTAACAATATAACTTACCTACCTTTAGTATTCTGAGATAGGTAGAGGCTATAAGAGTAAACCTTTAATATTTATGTTTAATTTTGCTTTTATTAATTAAATTTGTTGATTTATTTTACATCCCAAATATATTTTCCCCTCCTTCCTATTTTCCCACTTCCTCCCACAATCTCACCCTGCTTCCCCCATCCATTCTTCCTCTGTTTCTGTTCAGAATGGGGCAGGTCTCCCATGGGTGTCAACAAAGCAAGGCATATCAAGTTGATGTAGGACTAAGCGCCTCTCCTTGTATTGAGGCTGGACAAGGCCTGTATGAGGAAGAGGTTCTCAAAAACCAGCCAAAACAGTAGGGACAGCCCCTACTCCCAACTGTTAGGGGACCAAAAGTAGGCCAAGCTACACAACTGTCACAATATATGTAGAGGGCCTATGTCAGTCCCATGCAGGTTTTCTGGTTGCTGGTCCAGGCTCTGTGAGCACCTATGGGCCCAGGCTAGTTGTTTCTGCGGGTTCTCTTGTAATTTCACTTTAAAATTGAGACTGAGAGTAGGTGGTCACTTTAGGAATGGTTTTAAAACAGAGATGTTCCAGAGGTGTATGTGTGAGGTGGGGAAAGAAGAGACAGAGAGCCAAAGACAGACAGACTTCCATGTTCCTTGGACTATTTGAATTATGTCATAACAAACATACAATCAATGGGCCTTTGATCAACAGAACTGGGTGGTGGCACGCACTCTTCCGTCTTTGCTATAGTTGTTATTGGCAGGCTGGTAATGATCACGCTGTAATGTGCCACTCAAACTGCGAGCATTAGATTGCTTAAAGGTCAGAAACAAATTCTCTTCAATGCAGGATTCTTTAGAAACCAGAGGGAAGAGTCAAGATCTTTGAAAGCCAAGTTCATACTATGCATCCAGGACAATTGGGAGACACTCAGTATTGGCCCTGGCATAATGGCTCACATTAAAATACTAATTACTCCTAGCTTAGAAATATTGGCTTCCAAACAAACTCAGTGGCGAAGTTCCTCTACGAAGAAGAACAAAAAGAGTTTTCTCAAAGTGACGCCCTATGAGAGGAAACACAAATTGACGGCAAAAATCTGGACCAAATCAGAGGAAAATTATACTTACTTTGTGACACTCTTACTAGCTCGGTCACACTGAAAACACCTGATGTGACAAAACTGTCCTGGAAGCCCAAATGTCCTGTGGAAACAAAATCAGAAGAAAACCAAGCGTCAGAAAGAGAAAGCGTCCACCAGTACCAGTGTAAACACCTGTCTGTTATGATTAAGCATGTGAGGCCTAAGCGCACACTCAGCTCCCTCCATGCTCCTGTGGGAGGGCACAGTCATTTGGTGACAGAGACAACTTTTGGGTTGAGTCTGGAGGTTGTGGAAAAGTTTTGAAACAACAGCTGGGTGATTTTTGAGATGGTTAAAAAAAATCAACAGGAAATCTGAAACAAAAGACAATTTTAAAAAGAAAGAAAGGAGAGAGATGATCCCTGAGGCTTAGTCATGGGGACGCAGAATCCCCGGGAATCAACGAGGAGAGTCTCCAATGGTTTGAAACATTCACCACAGGAGTGTCTGACCAGGTTTAGTTGCCTGTTTATTTAAATCAAATGAGGTTTAAAGGTATTCCCTTCTTTTCTAGAGGCCCTACAGAAGAAGTTCTGGAAGAGCCAGACAGGAAATGCAAATTCAGTCTTGAAATGTGGAAAGAAGTCATTTTGTACATAGACACAAATTCATATTTGCTGAGAGAAAAAGGGCTTCGTGTTAGTTGTTTTATTATAAAATAGATATAAATGGTTCAAAATTGTTTCATCTTTAAATTTTGTGTTTGCTTAATTTTAACTGAATGTGATTAATTTTCTCTAAAATATCTGATTTTACACCCCACGAACATTGTACAACTTCACGGGGTATTTAAAAACATTTAAGCTTACAAATAGTGAGGGATGCACAGTCTAAGACGTGTATTCTGGCAACTACAGGTTTCGTTCTGTATCTTACAAGGCATATTCTACTCGAGAGATTTGTTCATGAAGTCGGCTTACTCTTTACCTGCTTTAAGTGTGATGCCCTGGAGCAAGTGTTAGCTGAAGATATTAAAAAACAAAACAAAACATTGTTCTTTTCAGTAAGACACACACCTTAAGAGATCCAGCCTGAGAAAATAAGCAATCTGTATGTACAGCAACCCATCAGTAAGATGTGCATGCTTCAGGAAAGCTAGATTTCCCACACTGCTGAGGGGAAGCAAACTCAGGAACTTCAGAGCATACATACCAGAAAGATTGCTAGATGCCACACCCAGCAATGCGCAGAAGGAGCCAAGTTCTAGAGGGTCATTAGCAGAGCTATGAGTTCTTTTGATTACAATGGAGTTTTGAGGAAGAAAGGATTTTACTGCGCTTTAAATTTTTCAGTTAATTCTGATATAACCCGGGATATCCATGAGACCTAAGCTTTGGGATATATCCCAGTCATAACCCTCTGTTCAAAATGAAACGGCAGAAGTTCACCTTAAACGTTCTGAAGGACTTTTACTTATCAAAATGACCTACAGACGGGTGTATCTAGGGGATCCTATTTAGTAAGAGCTGAAGGTACTGTCTCTTGGACCGAGAAGTAAAAACTTTAGCAAATCAATAAAAAATTCTCTTAAAGAGGTCTTGTCAAAACAGACCATAACATTTCTTTTTCACTGGGCACCATTAAGATCACGTTTACCCCGCAGGTCATAATAAAGGAAATCCACTACAGTGTACATGAATGTGGACTCGATGCGCACACCATCCAGGAAAACACGGCTCAGTGGGAAGTGTGGTTCTTCCTTATCTCTTTTTGTACAAGTTACGGGCTGACACTTGCTTCAGTACCAAACCCTGGAAGCCTGTATTTTCAGGAAAGACTAATAAGAATTTCTGAACTAAGTAAGCATGAACACAGACCCCTTAATTCAGCCACACCAAAGCAAGTCTATCTTCAAGCCTAGTTTGAGTTTGATGCGAGGACTCAGGGGCAGGGTGACCTTTGTCATCACTCACTGAGCAAACAAATTTGTGGAAACTAGATTCATGCTTAATTGGTCTACCGAAGGGATTTTTATGCCTCAAAGTAGCTAGTGAATATTTGTGAATAAAGAGATAAGTGAATCTTTAAACCAGTGATGCTCAAATCTTTTCCTTTGGCCCTCCTGGATTCTCAACTTGTAAACATCTAAGCATCTACTGGACATGCTATGCAGACATCTCATAGGTAGCCTTAGATCCAACATGTCCAAAGTCTTTGGTTTTCTGTGATTTGGTGTCATCCTCCGTCTGCAGTTATACAATTACCTAAACTCATGTTTAGTCAATGTCCACATTGACTCAATTTCCAGGATATGTGGTTCCACCTCGCATGTGTCTTCTTTTCCTGAGACTGAGGTTGAGCGCATGCCCAGTCCTCGCCACCACGATGCTCCAAACCGTCTGCTGTCTACTATTCACTGACTTGTCTGACATCCTCATGGATTCGTTCCCTACTCTGAAGCCAGAACCATCTCACTGACTGGCAGAGCCAACCACTCGGTCACTTAACACACATTTACCGAGCAGCTACCATGTGCCGGGCACGGTGCTGGACCTACAGTCCCGAATTTCGGAGAATTTGCAGTTTGGTCATAGAGACACATAAAAGTGTTTACAACAGCTTGTTAGGAAAAATGTATAATCCAAGTGACACGAAGGGCAGTAGCAGGGGTGGCGAGGGAAACCCTTCCCTAGCACTGTCTGGAAGGTGTTGAGAAGACAGCTAGGATGGAGAGTTGGCGAGCTAGCTGGTAGGTAGACAAAGGCCCCAAGGAGAGTAGAAGTACGGAAGAACCTGAGATCAGTCCAACCTATTCAGGGCACACTGGCCTATCAGAAACCTTGCGAGGGTCCCGCAGGTGGAACACCAATTCCTCATTTGTTTCTGACTTTTTTCTTACAATAAAGTTGAACTAAACCAAGCCCTGGAAAACTAAAAAACTAAAACACTCAAATATAACACACACACACACACACACACACACACACACACACGATATATATATATTCCAAACTGAACAGGACTAGCATAACAAAACCCATTTCCATGTGACTTCTGCTGGAGAAGGAGCCATTGGGTTTTCTGCTAAGATATGCCTGGGGTATGCACAATGGCTGCCATTCTGGTGCACTGTCTGGGAAAGCAAACAAAAGCAGAATCAAAGGGCAGAATTGTTCAATGAACAATGACACCTGTCCCGAAGAAACCCACTCTCAGAGTTAAACTAGGATCAGGAGGAGACAGAGAACATCACTGCAAAAGGAATTTCTCTTTCTATGGGTAGCCAACTGTCTCAAGATGGAGTGGACGGGGAAGGATGTGGATGAGCGTATGCAAGCCAGAAACATGAAAACAAAGAGTGTGAAGTATTTCACATGCCCCCACAGTAGCATCTCTCCACCGGATAACTGAATGATCAGACAGATTTTATTTATAGCTTGTCCCTGACAGACAGAAGGGTTGTGTAAACACTATTTAAGTGGCTAGTTTTGCTCCTTCGCTAGTTACTTGGAAACCCAGTGATGAACTCTGTTAGGTGACAGCAATAACGGGAAACCTAAGAAATGGTGGAAAAACTGAGACGGTGGACACAATGACTAAGCACCCCGGGCAGATTAATCTTTCTTTCTCACACACACAGAGTCATACAAATGACTGGCAGGGAAATCACACGGACCAGGTTGCTCTACGTTTATTGCAAGATGAAGAAAAAGTGGAAACAAAATTACAAAGTAAATTCTGGTAGTTTGAAATTCAGATGTTACTAATGTTAAAGATCTCTGTGAACTCCGGAACTGAGTAAACCCAGTAAACTCCGGAAACGCCTTGGGATTTCCATTTTGAGCAGGGCCTCTGAGAAATGATGGGAAAACATGGGCCGTTATTCAGCTCACCTGGCATGATGCAGCATTAAACTATTGGACGGTCTAGCTCTAAATCCAGAACAACTGTATAGGAGACTGAAATAGAACAGGTCTCTTTTAATTTTACATAAGATGGCTCGAAAGTTCCTTCACTGAAGTTTGCTCAATGATTTTCCAAGTAGAACACAGGTTTCAATGCCTAGGAGTTAACTGTTCCCAGTGTGGAGGGAGGAGCCCTTCTGGAACAACAGAATGTGAAGAGACACTCTTTTGTAAGTACTCAGAAAAAGCCTTTCTCTTTACCTCAATGATATCAGCAATTATTACGGAAAATGTCATTCTCTGAAACCAAATCTCCTTTTATGGGAGGACAGAACATCTATCTACCTTTGAATGTTAAGGCAGGAAAGGAAAAGCTAGACTTTCTGAGATGTGGTGATCCACTGAACTGCCTACAGGTTGGGGAAGAGAACCAGGAACAGGGCGTTGTGAAGGCCGGCCATTAAAGGCCAAGAGTCTCCACCATGAAGTTTGTATCTAAGGAGGACACAGATAAGACTTTATACGACACTCGACATTTTTCATGTTCAGATACCAAGGCCGTCCCTGTCCTGAATGATCAGGTCTCGCCTGGCTGTGGGTGCAGACTGACTGCAGTGTGCAGCCAGTTCTGTTAAGTGACGACTTCCATTCTCCTCTCTTCCTAGCAATTGAGTCTCCACCATTAGTAAATCACAGGCTAAGAAGAGAGCCTTTCCCAGCCGTATTCCTCGGTGATCAAGAAGGAAAAAGATCCCTTATTCTCACCCTATCACATTCCAGGAGTAAGCTGGGTGTCCTGGGATGTTCAGTTCCATAAAGAAAACTCCTTCCTGGAGGTGATGTCCTCCTTCTGTGCACTGAACAAGCCTACAGCACTCAGGGGATACAGCTCCATGTATTTCATATGTGCTCAATAAATAAGGTGAAGTTAAACTTGACTTTGCCCCAAAAGGTCAAAAATCAATAATGTGAAGTTTTAAAGGATTTCTGTTACACTTGTCCGTTGTCACTAGTCTCCCCCCTCATTGGCATCATCGCTCCGCTCTGTCAACAAGCCAGAAGGGCTGCTGTAGCTTACAAACTTATACTGCCAAAGGGCCCAGCACAGCCCAATCTCTCCGTGCAGTGTTTGGTCAGTGACTTGGATAATCTTATTTGGTGGGCCTCTACTGCAGCACATAAAGTTATTATTGACACTGCAATAGTTACTTCTGTA